TCCCACTTTCTCTCTCGTCCACGCATTCGTATTCGGCCAGCGTGGCGTGGCGGGGCGCGGCAGGGAAAGGGCCGAGCCCGCCGTATGGGGCCTCCCCGGGTCCCGCGCCGTAGTGCCTGGAACCGCCATGCATGCAGAATTCAGGCGGCGTGGCGTGGCGCGGCGCGCGGGGGTCACGTGGTCCTGCGCGCGCGCCGGCAGAGACCCGTGAATGTTTCAGTGCGCCAGGTTGCACCTCAAAGTCCCCCCCAAGACGACTCTTACCAGGTCAGCGGCGCTGCTCTGCTGCTGCGGGGCCGTCGCTGTTGCTGCCCCCTCACTTTCCTTCCCCCTTCCCCTACTGCCCACTCGTCTTCTTTCTCTCTCGCTCTCCCGCCGCCGACCTCATCCCCTCCCATCCTGCTACCACCACCGCCTCTTGCTGCTCGTCGACGAAAAACCTCTTAAATCCATGCAAATGCGACCCGGGTCTCGTCGAACGTCACCCCGCCCGCCGCGCTCCAATCCACCTCCTCATTCCGCCCAACCCTTTCCTCGGGTCGCGGACGCGAGTTTGCCCAACAAGACTTTGCGTTTGGCTCACATGACACGCTTCCAGATCACGTCCGCGAGCTGCTCTGGGGACCCTCGCGGGGGCCCCGCCTGCAGGAAGGCGAAGTGGTATGTGTTTTCGAATGATCCTGCGGCTGTGCCGTCACCGCTGCCGCGCCGCCGCTAAGGCCCTCTGCCGCCTGTTGACGTTGACCTCAGAGCTTTGGAAATTTTTGCAACTGCCAGAAAGCGTACCTCTTCTCTTTCTACCTCGTGCTCTTCGCACTGCCCTTCACAGTACCGCTTGAGGTACCCGCTCTCCCTTTTCCCTGTTTCCTCACCACCTGCTGTGTCGCCGTTGGCTGTTCGGTTTTGACGTTCATCCTCTTAGAGGTCTCTCAAAGTCTGCTTGACGTCGGGGAAGGTGTGCTTTGCTGCAGCGTTTGGAGTAGACGAGTGTCCGTATTGACTGGGGTCCCGGAGAAAAAGGGGGGGGGGGGCAGAATACAGAAGAGAAAGCACTACCCTTTCAGATGGAGCAGCATGGGGGCGAAGTGAGTGGGGGGGACCTGCCACCCCCACTGAGACCCCAATCAGATTGTGATGGTGTTGTCACTGATCTCCCAATGTAGTTAAAGCCGTGGTACCCGTGGCGCCGGCCCCTAACCCGCCCCCCGCCCCGCCCCTATCTTCTCCCGCAGACAGCTGTCATTTTTGGAAGAGGGCTGTTGTTGTTTTTGCTGGCCGTTGTTTATTGTTGTTGTTGTTGCCCGCTCATCCGTATTCTCTCTAAACTGGATGTGACGTGCTGGGCTGGGGGTTGCAAAGAGGGGGAGGGGAAGGGGATGCAGCG